GGGGTGCCTGGGTGGCTCAGTCGTTAAGCGTCTGCCTTCTGCTCAGGTCATGATCCCAGGGTCCTGGGATCAAGCCCCACATCGGGCTCCCTGCTCTGCAAGGGGCCTGCTTCTCCCTCTCCCACTCCCCCTGCTTGTATTCCCTCTCTCTCCGTGTCTCTCTTTGTCAAATAAATAAATAAAAATGTTTAAAAAAATAAGATCAAATTATCCAACTCTATTATTAGTCTATAAATCCACTGTGACTAAAGAGTTCAATGAATTTACCACCTTCCAAAGAAATAAACTATGAAAAATTTAACCTTAACATTATTCCTATTAAAATTCAAGGTTTATCTCCTATTTTTAATATCCTAGAATTGTATAAGTAAATCTATATTCACATCATTTTCATTTATTATCTCATACTTCAATCATATCCTTTCTCAGATAATTAAACAATATGTTAACTATTGTATAAAGGAAGTTATGAGTACAAAAATAATAGGAACACAAATTGATCCAGTATGATCGCCACCAAAATCCGAACTGGCATTTTTTTGCAGGAACTGACAATTACAACTTAATCCTAAAATTCACGTGTAAATTTAAGGAGGACCCAGAATTAGTCAAAACAATCTTGAAAAAAGGAAGAATAAAATTAGAGCTGTCACGATTTCTGATTTCAAAGCTTACTCCAAGGCTACAATAGTGTGGTTCCAAAACATATTTGCAAATCATATATTTGATAAGGGAGTAATATCTAAAATACAAAAGTACTCATACAATTTAATAGAAAAAAATCTAATTAAAAAAATGGGCAGAGGAACTAAATAGACATTTTTTCCAAGGAAAATATCCAAATAGCCAACAGGAACATCAAAAGGTTCTCAACATCACTAATCTCAGGGAAACACAAATCAAGACCACAGTGACATTACCTCACACCTGTTAGAATGGCTATCATCAAAAAGACAAGCAATAATAAGGACTGGCCAGAATATGGAAAAAGGAATTACACTTCTTCCCTGGGAATTATACTCAGCATCTCAGCATCAAGCCACCAGAGCTTTTACGGAAAACAGTATGGAGGCTCCTCAAAAAATTAAAAAACAGAACTACCACATGATCCAGCAATTCTACTTCTGGGTATATATTCAAGGAAATGAAAACAGAATTATCAGAGAGATAATTTTCATAGAACTAGGGGGAGTTGAAAGACTGGAAGAAAAAGAGGGGTGACTGCTAGTAGGTATGGCATTTCTTTTGAGGGTGATAAAAATATTCTGAAGTTGAATGTGGTGATGGTCGCCCAACTCCACAAATATACTAAAACCAATGAACCATATATTTAAATGAGTGAATTGAAGGACATGTAAATTATATCTCAATAAAGTTATTATTAAAAAAATACAAACAGAAGAACTACTTCCCTGGGTAAACCACATACCCCAAGAATGCCAAATCACACAATGTCTTATTTATCCTCTGTATATGTACCCTAAAGGTAACGGAAACCCACTGCAGAATTTTTAAATAGGGTAATGTCCTAATTAGATATACCTTTTGCAATGTTTGATGAACAGACTGGAAGAAAGCAAAACTGAACTTGAGAGATCAGTTAAGACTAGAGTCTGGAAAGGGATAATGGGACTCAAGAGATGTTTGGGAGTTAAGACCAACAGAACTGATGGATGGTTCTGAGATGTGATAGTACTACAAGTTTTCTCCTTTGTAAAACTGTATGTATGGTGATGCCATTTACTGGGATAGGGAATAATAGAGATGTTACTATTGTTGTGGTTGTTAGTTTGCAAAAAGGATGTGTGTCAGTTTTTAATGTATTCATTCTAGATGTCTTTACATTATCCAAGTAAAGGTCAGATTAGGAGAGCAAAGAAAAACCAGAGGCAGAAGATACACATTTGGGTGTTACCAGTGTAAGTGAAAATGAACCAATTAAGAACAAAAGACACTGCTTAGGAAGAAACAGAAAGAAAAAAGAAGGAGTAAAATGGAACTGAGCAGAATACCTCAACATTTAAAGAATAAACAGAAAGAAATGAGCTGGTAAAGAAGACTGCAAAGTGGTCTTAGGAAACAGCCAGGAGAGGGTGTCATGAACACTAAGAGAAAAAGTTTTAAGGAGGACTTAGCTTTGAAAGCTGCTTTTCAAAGTAAAGTGAGTAATGAAAAATGTCATTTGGACCCAGTAACAGTGAAGATTGTTAAGGTCTTTAGGGACCTTAGTAAGGAGCAAATCTGGAGGGATGATCAAACAGAAGCCAGACTGGAATAAGTTTAAGAATATTGAGTGGAGGGGTGCCTGGGTGGCTCAGTCCGTTAAGCGTCCGACTCGATTTTGGCTCAGGTCATGATCTCAGGGTCATGAGATCGAGCCTGTGTCAGGCTCCGAGTTCAGCACAGAGTCAGCTTGAGATTCTCTCTCTCCCTCTCCCTTTCCCTCTGCCCTTCCCCCCACTTGCAGGATGCACATGCGCGCTCTTTCTTTCAAATAAATAAATAAAATCTTTTTTTAAAAAAATAAAAGAATACTGAGTGGAAACGCAATAGAAATAACTAGTTCAGTTGTGAAGGGGAGGCAAGTCAAATCCACTGCTGGAGAGCAGAGCACAGTAAAGGCAGGTTTTGAGGTTTTGTTACTGAAAACATTGAGTAATTTGAACATATTCAAAACAAAGTTAAAGAGTCAGTAGATAGAGACAGAAGTTGAAGTTTTAAGAAAACCAAGAGAGAATCAATAGTATTAGGTTCCTGAAGAGGTGGCAGGACTGAGGTCCAGAGGACACAGGGAAGGGCTACGCTTAGACTAGAGGATGAAAAATTCTTCAATGTGACAGGAAGAAATAAGAAGGAATGAAAGTACTTGCAGGTTAGGTATGTACATCTGTTAGCAGAAAATTAAAGGAAATCCTGTCTGATAGCTTTTATTTTTTCTGAAGCGGAAGGCAAATTCATCTGCTAAGAGTGAGAAGGAAAGTGGGAGGGTGAGAGATCTGACAACAGTGAAGGTTTAAATAGTTGCCCAGTTATAGTCCTGTGGGATATTTATTCCTTGTTTAACGTTATTCCATTATCCTTTTTTTTCTTTACCATATACCCACAATTAATTATAGTTTTCTAAAATGAAATAACTGTACAACATTTCTTTGGTTTTATTTATAATCAGAATACCAAATTCAACTGTGCTGTTATTACCATCACATTAACAATTCATCTATAATACTTCTGTATTGCAGTTTAAAAGTCAAAAGGAACACCTATATATATCATCTTACATGATGAATTTCAAAACTGGCCATTATGCTTATATAGGTAAGCAATCATTTATCATATATACAAATTTTACCTCCATACATCTAGAAGGCATACCATTTATTCAGAGGATTTTATTCCACATTACTTAACTGTGGCATACTGTTTGCAAAGATGGCCTCAACAAGCCTTCCCATCCTTGTGTGCACTGCTATTTATATTGTGACTTCTCTATTCCTACCATCAGAAGCGGAGTCTATTTCTCTTCCCTATCAATATGGGCTGGCCCTGTGATATACTTTGTCCTACAGATGTGACATCAAATGACTTCCTAATGTAGATTTCAAGAGACCTTATAGCTCTCAATCTTGCCTTCTTGGAATATGAAGAAGCTCCAGCTAGCTTTCTGGAACATGAGAGATCACAGGGAAAAAGGCCCAGGCAACAGTACGATCTCCCACACATGACAGTGAGGTCATTTTAGACCATCTAGCCCTAGCTGAGTCATCAAATGAGCATAGCCATATGAGGGACCCTAAGTGAGATCAGCAAATTGTCTACCTGAACCCAACTCAAACTGTCAACCTACAGAATCATGAGCAAATAAAACAACTGTTTTAAAATACAGTCTGAAGAAATAACCTAATTTTAAATTTCCCTTTTCTATTTTAAAAATACAGAAAAAACTGAATATATAAACTTAATAACTTTTCTCATGGAAAAATCATAAATAATATCACATTTACTTATCACATTATTTTGCACCTAAACTTAAGCTTGGGTGGCTCAGTTGGTTAAGCGACTGCCTTCGGCTCAGGTCATGATCCTGGAGTCCCTGGATCGAGTCCCGCATCGGGCTCCCTGCTCAGCAGGGAGTCTGCTTCTCCCTCTGACCCTCCCCCCTCTCATGTGCTCTCTCTCATTCTCTCTCAAATAAATAAATAAAATCTTTAAAAAAAAAAAAACCAAAATTACCAGAGTCACGGTCTTGTGGTTTAGCCATTCATTCATTCATTATACACTATGTGTCAGAATAACTCCAGACACTGACCATATATTAGTGAACAAAGGAGACTAAAATCCCTGCCTGCATTGGGGGGATATGGACAACCCAAATCCAAAATATATTATCTTCTAATATGTAAGTATAATTAACATCTATATTTTTCAAGGGAGGAACATGTAAAGAGAAATGTTACCAATAATCACTCTTACCCTCATGCCAAGCACCAAGAACCCAATCTCTTCCATTAATGGGTACTTGCTGACCTGTTGCTTAATCTTCTCAGATGAGGCAAAAGGATCATAACTCTTTCGCCCTATCTTTACATCCATTATACAGGGCTTATTAAATTTATGGGTCACATCTTCCAGTTTTAAGTATAAATCTGTTATTAAAGAAAAACCTTAATTAGTAATAAGCAAACATATTACTACCCAGATAACTGCCAGGGGAAAACAATATGAGGAATCTTAAAACTTAGAAAAAAAATTAAAATAAATCCAGAGTCAATAATTATTATTACTCCATCTGAAAAAAAAAAATGACCAACAAATTTATAACAAGTATAAATATCACAGAGAAACTCTTGCAGGAAGTGATTAAATAATATTCAATCATAAGCAAAAGGATGAGATAGATATAAGGTTTCTAAGGACATTAAAATGAGATTATTTCAAAAGCTGTTTCAGAATGCATTCCCCTTTTGAATACATTTTATGTCATCTGTGCCTTAGCAGGTCTCTTAGTATTTTAATAATTCTTAAAAATCTTCATTTAAAATTAGTAATAGGAATAAATCCTTCCCACAGAGTACACAACAGAAGTACAGTTTAAGAAATGTAAATCAATCTAAATTATGGTCACTGCCAAATATATATTCTAGTCTTACTAGTCGCAAAAGAAAAATAAATATCTTGCTTAGAATATAAGCATTCATCAAAAGCTCATCTGTAAACTACTTTGGCATCCTGCATACATCTTCCCACAGAAAACTATTATAAATGGAGATTCAAGTAAAAGATTATAAAAGTTCCAGTTATTATATACTGAAGCTGAACTAATTACAGCTTAGCTTGAAAGTAAAGTCTAGGTACACTGACGGAAATTCTCTCTTTACTTGATGGAAGGAAAGGAAAGAAGGAAATTCTCTCTTTACTTGATGAAAGAATCTTCCCAAAGTTCTGATTGAGATCATACTTTTCAGTTATGAATATGTAAAGCATTTCTCTCAAAAACTTTTTCTCAAAAACAGAAAAGCTTTTATCTGCTTTTTACCAAAGTAGCAAAGTTAGAGAAGGTATGTATTTTCTATGAATTAAAAAAAAGGCCACCAGAGAAAAAAGAAGACTTACCCTCTTTTCCTTTACCTTGACCCACCAAGCATAGTTATTAAATTACAACAAAGAAGTCTGTGTTGAACTAAAAGTGAGAACAAACCTGGTAGAGCTTATGAAAGTTTTAAGCCCCTCAGATTTAAGGGGCATAAATCTCTTCCTTGAGATAAGAAATAAAGAGGTAAGTTTTACTCCTTAATCAAGGAAGATGGGGGCAAGGTCATGATTTTGTAGAACTAGGTGAAGTCAAGCCCAAATATGACAAAAAACTACACCCTAAGAAACCAGCACTGGCACACAGGAAGAAGTATGACACATTTTAAAAAAGGACTCTCACAAGCAGACATGTTCAACAAGAGAAAACAAAAGGTCTGGACACAGACATAGGACTGTTGACAGTGAAAGGTAATGGCACAGTGGGAATATCCTGATCAAGAAATTGGAACCTGGGCGCCTGGGTGGCTCAGTTGGTTCAGCGACTGCCTTTGGCTCAGGTCATGATCCTGGAGTCCCAGGATCGAGTCCCGCATCGGGCTCCCTGCTCAGCGGGGAGTCTGCTTCTCCCTCTGACCCTCCTCCCTCTCATGCTCTCTGTCTCTCATTCTCTCTCTCTCAAATAAATAAATAAAATCTTAAAAAAAAAAAAAAAAAAAGAAATTGGAACCCACCCAAGCTTCTGTGCTTTAAAAGATAACCACAGGATGGGGTGAGAAGATGGGGAAGAAAGCAGCATAGAACAGTCCCCTTCATATTCTCTCCTCCCATCTCCAGCTACCTTGAGCGAAAGTAAAGGAAACAGATCCATCATTTTCCTATAGCTGTGTAAAAATTTCAGTAACAAGGTTTATATTTCAAATATCAGAAAAGACTAATTAGAACCTAGTACGGTAAATCACTGACATTCACAAGTGTATCATTAATTTCTATAACTCAAGAGACCCCAAAAGTCTTCCTGAGGTGAGGCGATGGATGGGAGTATAAAGATAGTGAGTGAGGGCGCCTGGGTGGCTCAGTTGGTTGGGCGACTGCCTTCGGCTCAGGTCAGGATCCCAGGGTCCTGGGATCGAGTCCCACATCGGGCTCCCGGCTCAGCGGGGAGCCTGCTTCTCCCTCTGACCCTCTCCTCTCTCATGCTGTTTCTCTCTCGCTCGCTCTCTAATAAATAAATAAATAAAATCTAAAAAAAAAGATAGTGAACTTAGCTAAGTATCATAGCGTCTTTACCTCAGTGTAGGGTTATTATTTTCTACTTGCCAATTTGGTAGTGATTAAAAACAAACAATAAACTGTTTTTTGGTAATAAGATAGAGATGCCAGAAGTGAGAGTATATTACAAATCTTAATATAAAATCTCTATTTCCTCCTCCCCTCTTGGGAAGAAGGAAAATACAAATGCAAATCCCATATATAGTAGGAATACAATAAATGTTTGCTGAATGAATGAATGTTTGCTTTTCTCATTTCTACTGCCCAGCGGGACTTTGGGTTTGGCCTCACTAACACTGTAAGAACTGAGTCGTTCCTTCAGTAAACAGGCCTGAGCTTCTTGGCTTTTATTTGACATTTATTTCAACTAGCCAAATATGTTTTTCTTTACCTTACTTTCAGGTTCTTGATATGTGATATATGACTTGAATTACCAAATAACTGCTAAATTATTAACAGCTTTAAGTAAATACCCCTTAAATTAAGGCCTACTGAGTTGGCTTAGTGTTTTTCTTTTAGTCCCCTGGCCTTGATATTTTTTTTAAGTGAAATTAAGAATTTGAGACTATAATTTCTATCCTTCCCTCTAAGTTGTAAAAATAAACATCAAAACCTGCTTTAGAGATGCAGACTTTTAAGGCTATAATGTCATATATCTAGCAGTTTGCCACAAGTGCTTTTGAATGAAATAGGTAAATAGGAAAATGGGGCATGATCTGAGCACTGAAACCTTTACTGATTTTTTTTTTTTTTACAGGTTGTTATCACTAGAGATAAGTCTGAATACTAATTCTCTCTGAAAAATGCTATTAGCAAATTATTTCGCTAGCATAGAGCTTCATTCAAAGTAGGTCAATCTTGAGATTCAGTAATTTAAATGCTCAAAGGCATTTTACTACAGGGGAGTTTCAACTGTAAGGTAATGCCGCAGACTGGATAACAAAGGACACTTTTTCAGCGAGGCCCCTCTGGGTATAGAATGGAGCAGTAGTTTTAATTTTCAGGTAAACAGAAAATATGTTCTAAAACTCATCCAAAAAATCGGATGGACTAAGAATAAGATAAATGTTCTATGTGGAATAGTTTTAAGTCTCTTCTGACCAAGGTCAAGGAAATAAACTACTTTAATATGATGTTTGGAAAATAATTACGATATGATTATTTAATATGATGTAACTTGCAAGATATGATTTTGAATGAAGAGAGGTGATTTTTACATATATATGCATATACATGTGTATATTTGTATGTTGTACATATCATAAATATTGAAAGAATAATAACTAGATTTACTTTTTTAAATTCTGAAAAGCTCTATTTAGGACAACAGATTCTGATAAAGCCAGTCTGCTAGAGGTCAAAGGACTGGCATTTGTGAAACTCAGATCTAAGGAGATATTCTGTAAAGGCTACTCTTGGTTTTTGTATAATAAATAAAAGGACATCTACTTTTTATAAATACGTGGAGCTCATTACAAGAGGTCACACTGACTAGACACATAGTTAAGTTTAAGAGGCTTTGGCTATAAATCTATTGTTTATTAATTTATGAGAAATATACACAGAATTTCTATATTTCATTAATTTTTTGAGGTAAAGATCATGAAAATAACTACCAGGTATTCAGAAATACACCACTTCATGCTGTTCTAAGCAGATTACTAAGTAAGATTTCTCAGTGGCTTTACCAATGACATGGTTAGCGTGCTCAAAATATTTATATACTTTATGCTGTTGATGACCGTGTAAGATTACCCAAGGTTACTATGGCTGAAGGAAGCTTCCTATTTTAAATATATTTTCTAATTAAATATGTATATTTAAATATAATTACCTTTAATATAAATTAAATATAATACTTACATTGTTTTGTAATACATTAAGCACAAAAAATTCCTATAGCAAATTTTCTACTGCTGGAATATATTCCTGACACTCTAAGAAAGAGGCGGAAAATTCCCAGTATCAAAAGAGAAAAAAATAGAAACATTTGAAATACTGTGGAAAAACTGAAAGACCTACATATAACTAAACAGTAAAGATAATTAGTTCCTTAGACTTATTTAGATGCTCTTACTGAATATTACTGATTGTATAAATTATGAGACTATAGGTTCCAAGTTTCATCAAATTCTTCGTCACCATCTCTAGAAAGTCTACTAGGTATTGATTACCATCTTCATTTCTGAACCTCTCAAAAAGGAGAAAAGGCCAGATGAGGAGCCCAATTCCAACTATGAAGCCATATGGAAAAACAGACAAGGCCTTGCTTCTGCTTTCCACTGCAATCATTGGTCATTTCTAAAAGCAAGATAAACTCAAAGTAGAAAGAATTATAGGCAGAGACCTTGAGCCTCCAAATTTGACATAAGTGTGAAGGAGAGAACAGACATGTATGACAGCTTATTTCAGTGCATGCTTCCTAAAATTTGACTAGTAGCTAGATCCAGAAACCTAACAATTAACAGGCTGCCGGAGATTACATTTAAAAACTCTAAATTTGCTCAAACCCACTTGAAGATATACTTTTCTATCTCCCTAAATAACTATCAATAAAAGGCTTTTGATAGTACATGTACTAGGCATCTATGTTTATACAGATACAGATGAGATTTAATATATATAACTAACTCAAAATCTTCAAAGATAATTCACAAATGTTTTAACTTAAAAAAAAAATCCATTGGTCATGTTCTAAAATTAGTTAATAGTGATGATTGTACAACTCTATGAATATACTAAAAACTACTGAATTGTATACTTTAAATGAGTGGCTTTTATGATACATCACATAACTTAATAAAGCTATCATAAAAAAATCAAAAGAAAAAAACCTTATCGGTCAGCACATTCTTATGCTTCACTGAAGTTACAATAATTTGCTAAGCAAATTTGCAGTACTTTCTACATTTTACTACTCTGGGTTACAAGAACTATGTCAAGCTTTATAAAACTACCGTGAGCACCTAAAAACATGCCCGGGGTGGGGGTGGGGGGGAAGGCCAGTTATTCCTATGTAAAATACAGTAATGCAAATCACAGTGTTCTAAAATCTAAGAAAATATTTGGTTTCATGATATATTTATATTTATTTCATTATCAAAAGGATAAAAATAGAAAAATGATCCCATGAATTCTCTAGTAAAATCAAAGCTAAACACGTGCATAGTGCAACAATTTTTGTCTAATTTCCTCCAGAGCTAAAAAATTGAAAAGGAATTAGGAAATCCCCTGAGGCAATTGTTGGTATTACTGAACCATTCTGTACACATATACTTTTTTATTCCTGTCCTTTTCCCCCTTTTATTTACATTTTCTCCTCTCTCCTCTCATTTTCCTCACTTCATCTTCTTATCCCAGTAGCACCAATTTCTCCATTTATAGTCAAATAAGAATATTAGAATTTTCAAGGCCTTCTTACGTAACATGCATCCTCTCAAATCTATATGGTATTATTTTTAATTTTTGGAAGAAAAGGTAGAGCTCAAGAAGGTTAATGAGTTAACCAACTTCACAAAATTCGGAAAAAATCAAGGTAAAAAGCAAGTCTTTTGACTTCAAACTTACTGCTCTTTCTGTTTTAGCATAGATGTCCCTCTATTTAGTACTGAAAACCAAAAAGGTTGTCGATTGCTAGCAAGTCCTTGATTTTTAAATCATATGCTAGTAATTCCAAACTATAAAATGTTATTTTTAATTGAAATACTTCTCTCACCTAGATTCTTTCTGTATACTCTACTTTTCAAAATAATGATGCTGTTTGAGTATGGACGTTCCTCAAAAAGTTGAAAATAGAGCTACCCTACGACCCAGCAATTGCCCTACTGGATATTTACCCCGAAGATACAAATGTAGGGATCCGAAGGGGCATATGCACCCCAATGTTTATAGCAGCGATGTCCACAATAGCCAAACTATGGAAAGAGCCTAGATGTCCATCAACAGATGAATGGATAAAGAAGATGTGGTATATATATACAATGGAATAAAATCTTGCCATTTGCAACGACATGGATGGAACTAGAGAGTATATGCTAAGCGAAATAAGTCAATCAGAGAAAGATAAGTATCATATGATCTCACTGAAATGAAGGATTTGAGAAACAAGACAGAAGATAATAGGGGAAGGGAGGGGAAAATGAAACAAGATGAAACCAGAGAGGAAGACAAACCATAAGTGACTCAATCTCAGGAAACAAACTGAGGGTTGCTGGAGTGGAGGGGGGTGGGAGGGATGGGGTGGTTGGGTGATGGACATTGGGGAGGGTATGTGCTATGGTGAGCGCTGTGAATTGTGTAAGACTGTTGAATCACAGACCTGTACCCCTGAAACAAATAATACATTATATGTTAATAAAAAAAATTAAAAGAAAAATAATGATGCTGTTTGCTTCGTTATTCTACCCCTTCCTAACAATGTTTTTAAACTGAGTATTTACTTATCTAGATGTCTAATCTAGTACCATCCTCAGCAACCTTCATTAATCTTTCACTGTCACTTTACTGATAAGTATTGATTTGCTCAAAATTAAACAGCAACCAGTAGCAAAATTTAATGGAATCCAGTTATCTTATGTTACAATGGAAACCTCTACAAAGTAAAGGTGATCATAAAGATTTGTGAAATAATTTAAGTAATGTGCTGATCTGAATCAGGGATATACTGTATATTTGGGATGAAAAGACAAAGAAAGAAAAGAAAGAAGGAAGGAGGAAGAAAAGAGAAAAGCTCACTTTTTTTTTTTTTTCATATTACTGAAATACAGAAGAATCCTAAATACCCGGGGAATCATAGATTTACTATTACCTAACTGAGGATACTCAGGGAGATACCATGATTCCCTACAAATGACATTTCCACACCTAGTAAATGAATATTAGAAAAACAACTGATGAACAAGCCCAAGCTGGAGCCCCTTCTCTCCCTGTTCTCAAAATGCAGTTCAAGTACTATCTACAGCAAAAAAAGCTACACTTTTTTTTTTAACAAGCAAATCACTAAACTCCAACACTGATCTGCATAATAAAAAAACTGGGAGTTGAGCCTAATAATTTACATTTTAACAAGCCTCTGGGTTATTCTCAAACTCAGTCAAGTTTGAAACTCTTCACCCATTCATCAACCTTCTTCAATCATTAAGTAGTCATGCTACTTGTTTACTTAATCCTGTCTGCTCTGTCAAAGGCTTTGAAAAGGCAAATACTCCTTCAAGTATTCATTAAGAAAGAGATGCTGTGCCCTTACATAGATCATTTTGTCCTTTAACCATGAAACTTAGCGGTATTTTTTTAAAAGATTGCAATTTTTTTTTAAGGGGGAGGGGAGCAGAGGCAGAAGGAGAGAGAATCTTAAGCAGGCTCCAAGCCCAGCATGGAGCTCAATCTCACAACCCTGAGATCATGACCTGAAATCAAGAGTCAGATGCTTAACCAACTGAACCACCCAGACACCCCTAAAAGATTGCAATTTAAAGCCTAGAACGAGATACAGAGGGAGTTACATAAAGAAAATATTTTTCTTGATTTTCCTACTCAAAATGGAAAAAGAAATTACCCAATAAATTAGGAAAAAAGAACATCTATAAATTAACACAGTATTAAGTACATAGATTTTTGTATTCAATTATAACAAATTGGTCATTAATTTTTTTTAAGACATTTATTTTAAAGAGAGAGAAAGAGTGTGCACATGTGAATGGAGGATGGGGGGAAAGGGCAGAGGGAGAGGAAGGGAGAGAGGGAGAGAAGCAGACTTCCTGCTGACCACAGAGCCAACAGGCGGCCAGATCTCATGACCCCGAGATCATGACCTAAGCCCATATCAAGAGTTGGACGCTCAACTGACTGAGCCACCCAGGTGCTCCGTTGGTCATTTATGTTATACACCATTTAAGAAACTGGGTATGAAAAGCAAAAGTAGGGATGCCTGGGTGGCTCAGCCAGTTAAACATCTGCCTTCAGCTCAGGTCATGATCTCAGGTGTCTGGGATGGAGCTCCCTGCTCAATAGGGAGTCTGCTTCTCCCTCTCCCACTGCTGCCCCCTCCAACCGCTCATGCTTGCTCTCTCACTTTCTCTCTCTCTCAAATAAAATCTTAAAAAAAAAAAAGTATTAGTAAGATTTCCTTAATGAAGTAGAGAAAAGACTAGAAAGAAAAACACATATATTCTGTCTGTATAGAACTAGGCTTAATTTTATATAAAGCCTTTTAAAGATTTTATTTATTTATTTGAGAGAGAGAGAATGAGAGAGAGAGCACATAAGAGGGGGCAGGGTCAGAGGGAGAAGCAGACTCCCTGCTGAGCAGGGAGCCCGATGCGGGACTTGATCCAGGGACTCCAGGATCATGACCTGAGCCGAAGGCAGTTGCTTAACGAACTGAGCCACCCAGGGGCCCTATATAAAGCCTTTTAAACAGGCACTGTCAGGTCATGATCTCAGGGTCCTGGAATCGAGTCCTGCGTCAGGCTCCCCTGCTCAGTAGGGAGTCTGTTTCTCCCTCTGCCTGCCGCTTCCCCTGCTTGTGCACTGTCTCTCTCTCAAAAAAAAATAAGTAAATAAAATCTTAAAAAAAGTAAAAAAATAAAATAAAAAGCCACTCTCATGAATTAATAGTAAAGGATGAATTTTTAAGAAAAGATTACCGTTTGGTGCAGTGGGAGGAGACCAAATGCCATAATATTTTGGCAAATATTTTCGTAGCTCTAAAAGAATTCCATCAGTACAGTCAGCAGCATAAACCTGAAACAAAGAGAAATATAACATTTGCATGATAGTTTCTTATAATGCTTTACAATTGCCCTACACATTTCTCAAATAAAACAATACTGTTGAATCATAATTTATCTCGTGTGAGTTTCAACTGGAAATACATTTGGAAGCAAAAAAAAAGATTATTGTGTGTCTCCAACAAAGAAGTATGTATTGTTTAGAGCACATTTTTCTTGGTCATCTAATTCTAGCCTTTCACTGTCCTTGAACTATTTTACAACTAAGTAAGTTGTAGATAAAACTTTCAGCAAATGCAAAATAACTCTTGTCCATAGAAATGTAAATAAATTCTGTCCAGAAGAGGTTCAACTCACTTCCTTCCACCTTCCACCACCCCTCATGGGAGGGCAGATATATATATTTATTTCAACTTCCTTTATTCCTTATAAATTTGTGCTTCTTTGGCTTCTCTTTTGAACCCGTTTCAATATCTGCTTGGTTCCCTCATTATACAATGAGTTTAACAAAATCTTTAACATATATTTATTTTATATCTGTAAGGGAGTTATGATTTTTTTTAAAGATTTTATTTATTTGACAGAGAGAGAGAGCACAAGTAGGGGGGGTAGCAGAGGGAGAGGGAGAATCAGGCTCCCCGCTGAGCAGGAAGCCCAATGCGGGGCTCGATCTCAGGACCCTAGGATCACGACCTGAGCTGAAGGCAGATGCTTAACCAACTGAGCCACCTAGGCACTTGGGAGTTAGGATTTTACCTTTAAAAAATTATCCTTTAACTCAATGTAAGTCTAATTATTGCTCATTTAATTCCTTGATTTATAACCAGTAATAATTCTAAAAAATACTAGAAATGTTCACATATCCTGAACTAGATTCTTAGTTTTTTTCCTAGAAGAGGGCAAGAAAATATTTTTGGTTTAAAAACAACTTGTAAGGGGCGCCTGGGTGGCTCAGTCGGTTGGGCGACTGCCTTCGGCTCAGGTCATGATTCTGGAGTCCCGGGATCGAGTCCCGCATCGGGCTCCCTGCTCAGCGGGGAGTCTGTTTCTCCCTCTGACCCTCCTCCCTCTTGTGCTCTCTGTCTCTCATTCTCTCTCGCAAATAAATAAAATCTTTAAAAAAAAAAACAAAAACAACTTGTAAGGCATGTTATCCAATGAATTCTCACAATATGGTCTACCTAATTATCCAAAATCATTAAAGTTCACTGGTATAAAATGCTTACGAAATCTTAGTGTTACAATTCTATTTGTCAAGCCATATTCATGTCAAGTAGTTACACATAAAACAGAATTCTACAGAATAAACTCAAGTGTGATAGAATCTATGTGATACACTGTATTTCCCAGGTTTCACTACTGAAATGTGAGCAGAAGTGATATTTATTAGTCACTTCTAGACCAAGGTAATTAAGAGAAGGGTATACCTTATCATCCCTTTGTTCCTGGCATAACATCAGTGACGGCAGAGTGTTCATGATGACATAAGAACAGGATGGAGGAAGCAAGTATATCTCTATGTACTTGAAGTCCATGATATATTTGTAAGTAAAAAAGATAAAAGAACCAGAAGAGTATATATAAGAGGGGAACTTTCTCTTCTTACTTTAAATATTTTTTGGGGGGGGGTGATAAAAAAAAAACCTTTCTAACTAGAGAAATGTAGGATAAAATATAATAAACATTTTCTTAAATGCTTAGCTGAGCTCCCAAGGAAGAGAAAAGGAAACTCATAGGGTTCTAAAATAAAGAGGGAACCAAAAGAGTTAAACTGAGCGGTGAAGTCTGGGCTTCATAAAGGTCCACTCTGAAGACTTGAACCAAAGGATCTCTGAATTTAGGGACTCAGCATAGATGAAGACAGAGTTACTATACTGAAACAGGGAGAATAAATGAAAATCTAACTCCTGAAAAGTAAAAACCCTGTCATCCTCTCCCTTCCCCTACCATTACACTCTAAAAATGCTGGGGGCCAAATTGATCAAGAAAAAGATAGAAGCAGCAAATAAACAATTAATATTAGGAATATAAAAGAAGTCATATATAATCCAACTATATTTTATTATCACATTGACAAAAGATATTAAAAAACTGAATCAGTGGTTAAAAATATATCCCTTCCCAGGGGCACACCGGTAGCTCAGTAGGTTAAGCATCTGACTCTTAGATTCAGCTCAGGTCCTGATCTCATGCCTCATGAGATCAAGCCCTGTGTCCGGCTCCATGCTCAGCAGGAGTCTGCTTTGATAGTCTCTCCCTCTGCCCCTTCTCCTGCTCACACTTTCTCTCTCTCTCAGATAAATAAATAAATCTTAAGAAAAAAATCCTTTTCCAGGAAAGAAGGAATGAAATGAAAAAAAAAAAGGACAGGGCAGAAGACATGAACAGACACTTCTCAAAAGAAGACATACAAATGGCTAACAGACACATGAAAAAATGTTCATCATCATTAGCCATCAGGGAAATTCAAATCAAAACCACATTGAGATACCACCTTACACCAGTTAGAACAGCAAAAATTGACAAGGCAAGAAACAACAAATGTTGGAGAGGTTGTGGAGAAAGGGGAACCCTCTTACACTGTTGGTGGGAATGCAAGTTGGTACAGCCACTTTAGAAAACAGCGTGGAGGTTCCTAAAAAAATTAAAAATAGAGCTACCCTATGACCCAGCAATTGCACTACTAGGTATTTACCCCAAAGATGCACCCCAATGTTCATAGCAGCAATGTCCACAATAGCCAAACTGTGGAAAGAGCCAAGATGCTCTTCAACAGACAAATGGATAAAGATGTGGCCCATATATAAAATGGAGTATTACTCAGCCATCAGAAAGAATGAATACCCAACTTTTGCATCAACATGGATGGGACTGGAAGAGATCATGTTAAGTGAAATAAGTCAAGCAGAGAAGAGTCAATTATCATATGGTTTCACTTATTTGTGGCATATAAGGAATAGCATGGAGGACATTAGGAGAAGGAAGGGAAAAATGAAGGGGGGGAATCGGAGGGGGAGACAAACCATGAGAGACTATGGACTCCAAGAAACAAATTGAGGGTTTTAGAAGGGAGGGGGTGAGGGGGTGGGTTAGCCTGGTGATGGGTATTAGGGAGGGCATGTATTGCGTGGAGCACGGGGTGTTATACACAAACAATGAATTATGGAACACTACATAAAAAACTAATGATGTACTGTATGGTGACTAACATAACATAATAAAAAAAGAAAAAAGGAAAGGAAAAAAGACAGACAGCTGGCTACACTGATGATTTACAGTTAAGTTCTATCAAGCCCTTAAGGAACAAATCCTTATCTGATACAAATTCTTCCACGAAATAGAAAAAGAAATGCCCCTTGGCTCATTTTATGAAGATATAAGAAACCTGATATCAAAAACAGACAAGGAAAATATGTGAAGAAAATAATAATTCAATCTCATTTTTGAGAATAGGTGGAAAAAATGTTAAATAAAACACTAGCAAACAAAATTCAGTAATGCATATTATTAAAAAAATTAGGGGCGCCTTGGTGGCTCAGTCGTTAAGCGTCTGCCTTTGGCTCAGGTCATGATCCCAGAGTCCTGGGATCCAGCCTCGCGTCGGGCTCTCTGCTCAGCGGAAAGCCTGCTTCTCCCTCTCCCACTCCCCCTGCCTGTGTTCCCTCTCTCACTGTCTCTCTCTGTCAAATAAATAAATAAAATCTTTAAAAAAAAAAAAAAATTAAAAGGACATGTAAAAGTAGGTTTTACTCCAAAAATGAAAGGTGATAATAGATTAGAAATCTATTATGGTATTTACATCAACAGATTAAAAGAGGAAACTCATAAAATTATTTCAATAGATACAGAAAAGGTAGCCGAAAAATATTCAATACCCATTCATGTCTTAAAAAGTTTCTTGAAATAAAAATAGAAAGGATGCTGTGTATCTTTCCCTTTTTCCAAGAAGCTAACTTCAATCAACTGCATCAGTGGTCGTCTCTTGTCCTCCTGCCATTGTCTCTTAATGGTACAAGACAGTGGAGGGTAGGAAAAGGGTTAAGGTCAGGTTATTTACTTCTCTAATTCCCTCCTTCTCAGTTCATACCTTCTTGTAAAGTTACCTTCCCTGAGTTCTAGTTACCACTCCCTTTCTTTGCCCTTTCAGGCCCAGGGATGGTATAGCATTATCTCTTGCAGGTGGCCTTAAACTGTGACCACACCTTTGTAAACAGTCCTTTTATTAAACTGACACAGGGCACCATTTGTTTCTTGACAGAGTCTTGACTCACAAAGAAGGCAATTTCTTTAACCTGGGAAGAAGTATCTATCAAAGAAACAAGAGAGAAAGCCATACTTAAAAGGAGAAATATTAGAAGCACTTCCGTGAAATGAGAGGAAGATACCCTCCCTCCCATCATTGCTTCTATTCATCAATGAACTGGAAGTACTTGAAAGAAATATATGGATTCAAAAGGAACAACAACAACAAAAAACCCTTCCAATCACAGTAGCTTTAACTGTCTACATAGGAAACAATTAGAACTGTTAGAGTTCAATAAGATAAAAGAAATACAAATATCTATTTCATTCCTGTATATTAGCAATCATTGGGAAACTTAATTCAAAAAAATATTATTTACAATAGAAACAAAAAATGAGGTACCAAGAATAAATTGAACAAATTACGTACAAGACTTTTACAGAATATAAAATACATTCTTCAAAAAAGAGGCTATGTGTAGCAGTTAAAAGCACATATTCAAGAGCTAGACTGCATACATTCAAATTCAGGGACCATCATTAACTATTTGAATGGATCTTGATCAAATTATTTCAACTAATCATGCCTTCATATGCACATATATAAAATGAGGATAATATAGTACCTAACTCACAGATTTTTGTGAGGATCAAACAAGTTAATACTGGAAAAGCATTTATAGTAGTACTTGTTTTTTGTTTTGGCTTGTACTTGTTGCCTCTAAAATAAGTAAATAAATCTTTAAAAGAAAAAAGAACATTATGCTAAACAAAACAAGCTAGACACATATTGTATAACTCCATTTATACAAAATATCCTGAATAGGTAAATCCATAGAAAGCAGATTAATGGTTGCCAGGGATGGCTTAACAGGTACAAGGTTTTCTTTTGTGTGATGAAAATGTTTTGTAACTAGACAGAGTTGATGGGTTGAAAACACTGTGAATGTACTAAAAAGTATTCCTAGTCATAGAGTTAATTAGATGTTAAGTATGCCCTTTCCCCCTCCCCAAATTTGGAGTTTCACAGTACACATTAGCATATTTAAGGTTCTAAAACAATCCTGTAGTAAAAATAAAAACACTTATTTAAACTCAGCACTTCTGAGAAATACAAATGGGCTCTCAGTTAAGGGGTTTTTAAACTGTAGGTCAAAATCCATTAATTGAAATCAATTTAGCAACTCAGAATAAGGATCTCTCAAAAATGAAGTAGAGGGGTGCCTGGGTGGCTCAGTCGTTAAGCGTCTGCCTTCAGCTCAGGTCATGATCCCGGGGTCCTGGAATCAAGCCCTGCATCAGGCTCTCTGCTCTGCAGGAGGCCTGCTTCTCCCTCTCCCACTCCCCTTGCTTGTGTTCCCTCTCTTGCCGTGTCTCTGTCAAATAAATAATAATAATAATAAAAAAAATGAAGTAGAGTAGCGGCACCTGGATGGCTCAGTCAGTTGGGCTGCTGACTCTTGATTTCAGCTCAGGTCGTGATCTCAGGGTCATGATGGAGCCCCAAGTTGGGCTCCTCACTCAGCACGGGAGTCTGTTAGAGATCCTCTCCCTCTGCCCTTCCCCCTCCCCCTGCTCATGTGCACGTCCTCTCTAAAATAAATAAAACTTTAAAAATGAAGTACAGTGGGAAAATACTAGACTGTATCAATAAAGATAAGCATTGTATTTCATAAAGCTTTTGTTTCAGTCACATAAACAATACACCAGGACATGCTGTCAAATGTATTTCTTACCTACTCATCAGAAACTATGAAAAACTCTTTGAATACAATGAAACAAATCTTACCTTACTTACCATATTATAGAATTCCAGCTCCCTTGGACCCCTTGGAGGTGGCTGTAACTGTTTCAAAACTGTGCCATCTGGATGTTGCAGGATACCTACAAAACAAAAATCAGCTATTTTTTAATGCGTTGATAATAGTATACCTTGCATCACAGGGTTAGATGTGTTCCTAAAGTTACAGATAAACCACTTTCATAGAAATTTTAATATTTAACCAATACATTTCAGTGCTTGTTATACATAAAGCACCAGAAAACAAATTTTGAAGTGTGGTTTTATTGTCTCAAACTACTATTCCCCTTAGAGCCCGCTCAGACTTTCTAATAAATTTAGAATGTATTTCTAAATTTTATAGAAATTCTTCAGTAATGGTCTTCAGGGAGAAAGTAATTTATAGTTAAACAAGAAGTTAAAAACAGTAGTGTAAACTGATTCCACTCTTGTAAACAGAAAAAAACATACATGTTAAAAGTGGTACTATATGGACTTCCTATTTTGTAACTTTTTTATAAGTTTCTCTCATTTATCACAAGAAAGCAACTATAAAATTTTTCCTGGTTCAAATGCATAGCCACTGAGAAAAGTGGGGACTGAAATCAGACACCAAGCCTGAAGCAGGAAGGGGCAACTTCTCATAATCAGCCCACTCAAAGGAGGAGCCTTTTCCTAAAGCCATCACATATGTACTAGCACTGGCTGTGTCCCTACACCATGAAGACTGATTACCAAATTTATATGCTAAAACCTTAAATTTTCAAATACTGAGATTTCACAAAATCATGTGTTAGAACACAATAGGACTCAAATAAGTATCATAAGGAGAAAAGAGAATAGGTCAGAAAAAATTTCTGGACTTCTACTTTCACCTAAGATACAGAAACCTAAAAACCCCATCCTAAGACTCAGGGTCATAGGGCCTACCTAATACTGAAGCTGGACCAAGACAACAAGAAACACCTCCTACAGCCTTGCATCAGGCTAGTAATCACCAAGTAATAAGCAACAGTAATCTACATTTGGAGAAAAGGCATGAACATGGAGAAAAACTATCTCTGAAGCATGAGTGCACGAGGAAGACATAAAGCAGAGGGTTAAACAGGAATGTTGAGAAAAATCCTCTGGCAAATCAACCCCACTCTAAACAAAAGATTACAGAAGAAAAATTTCAAGCCTGTGGTGCACTGAAGGTGTTATTAGTCTGCTCCAGCTTCCATAACAAAATACTGTAGACTAAGTGGCTTAAATAACAAAAATTTATTTTCTCACAATTCTAGAGGTTAGAAGTCACAGATCAAGATGACAGACAGCCTATTCATATTCAGCTCCTGGTGCGAGTTTTCTTCTGGGCTCGTAGACAGCTGCCTTCTCATTTTGTCCACACATGGTGGAGACAGTGAAAGAGAAAAGATATTCTCTCATGTCTCTTTTTATAAGGACACTTATCCTTTTGGATCAGGCCCACCCTTATGCCCTCATTACTCTTAATTTCCATAAAGACCCTCTCCAAATACAATCATATTGAAGGTTGTTCTTTCAGTGTATGAATTTGGGGCAACACAACATACAGTTTGTAACAGAAAGTAAGTATAACAACAAAATTCAAACTTGGCACTATTCCTGACTAGACTGGCTCAATCACCAACACTAACTGCCTAGCAGAAGAGGTGCATTCATTTTGGTCATAAATACTGTTTGCCTTCAGTCTCACATGTGATGTCCCCAGAATTTAATAAAAAATTACAAGACATATGAAAAGGCAAGGGAAAAAAACACTACCAAAAGAAGATGCAACATACAGAACAGTTTCAGAGATGACACAAATGTCAAAATTATCAAAGGAACTTAAAATAACCACAACTAACATGTTAAAGATTATAATAGAAAAGGTAAATAACATAAAAGCAATGATGGGGAATTTTAGCACAGAAATTATAAGGGTCAAACGGAATGTTAGAAGTGAAAAAGGGAGTGGCACCTGGGTGGCTTAGTCCGTTAAGTGTCTGCCTTCCGCTCAGGTCATGATCCCAGGGTCCTGGGATCCAGTCCCACATCAGGCTCCCTGCTCAGTGGGGAGTCTGCTCCCCTCTCTCCCTCTGCCCCTCCCCCGGCTTGTGCTCTCTCCTCTCTTGCTCACTCTCTCTCTCAAATAAATAAATTAATTAAATTTTAAAAAAAGAAATGAAAAAGAAAGTTAAGAGACAAAAACATGCTTTCTATGGGCTCATCAGTAGACAAAATATAGAAGAGGAAGGAATCAGGGAATTTGATGACAGGTCAACAGAAATTACCCAAACTGAAACACAAACAGGAAAAAAAAAAAGAGTGGAGGGCGCCTGGGTGGCTCAGTTGGTTAAGCGACTGCCTTCGGCTCAGGCCATGATCCTGGAGTCCCAGGATCGAGTCCCGCATCGGGCTCCCTGC